CTAAAAACCTAATTATTTCAATTTTCGTAGGGATCTCTAATTTTTTTTGAAAATAAAGTACATCCCATATTACTCGCTGATAATGTAGCTTTTTATAGGGGAAAGAAGTTTTAAAATCGAATAAGTACCTAGTTTCTGATCTTGTCCATTACAAAAATACAAACAAATCTTTTCTATTTACTATATTAGTATAGATGTACAACAATATTGTAATAGGCAAATGTAAAAACCAATTTTCATTTCAACATAACAACGGTTAATCCGGCTTATCGATGTAACCAATATCGTTATAAACGATCAAATTTACTGCTCATGAGATATAAAACCGACCATATACATATACATTATAGGAATCGTTTCACCCGGAATATCGTTATATACTGTATCGTATTAAGTGAATTTGGCTGTATTTTGTGAAAATATCGACATAAATTTCTAGAGTGTCGTGTTGGTGAATTCACAGTTCGATGACTCGCGCACCCGACAGTCTGGAGCCACGTTTTGATAAGTATTTCTCCATTGTTCAAAAGGGATCGATTAGCTAAAATGAGGCTAAATCGATTAGCCCTTGCCTCTGTCTATCTGTCTCCTTGTTTGGTCCCTTGCGGCCAGAGCCGGCTCTAACTCATTCAGCGCTCAGTGGGAGAATTATTTTAGCGTCCCTTTCTCTTAAACATATAAACAGAAAAAATAAATTAGGACAGCTGGAAGGACTAAGCTTCATTCATGTGAATGCAGAGTGAAGAATAAAGTGCTTAACTATAATTACTATTAAACTATTAACTATAATTCTTATGATTTTGAGAACTCCTAAAACATTGACCATATTGCAAGAGTCCAGAGACTTTAAAAATCACAGTTTAAGATTTACATTATAGTAGTATAAAGTACATTATTATAGAATATTAGTAGCGTGGTGAATGTTGAATAATATTTGATTTGCGTCTATTGTGGGTACCCGTGGGTTCGACCGAAAAAATATGTCTATTTTTATATTATAAAATATTGTAAATTAAGCGAATGAAATATCAATGCTAAATTAGTTAAAAATAATGATACGTTGTTTTCAAATTTCGCTACTGTACTTATACTCTGCTACCCTATTCTCCAAGCCCAGGTATTATTTTATAATGTTCTACTACTGATACTATTATATTTATTTATTATTTTCCAGTGTCGTCTAAAAAGTAAACACGAATATTATATTATTTCGCCAAAGTATTTCCTGAATATTCTTTAATTTATAAGCGTACACAAATGTTTACTGCGATACGCATACAATTTATAATAAAATATTGTTCTAAAGTTTACTTACTACAATATCTTATTTCATATGTAAAGTATTCACGTGAAATTAACATTCGTATATATAAAATCGTGTAATCGAAAAATCCGCATATAGATGTAATTATTCACGTTTACACGCATATATATTCACGTATCCACGTATTTTAGCGTGTTAATATTTACTTTAGGTTCATAATTTTATTAACAATTCAAATTTTAACAATAAAGGTTTAATCACAGGGTCGTTGGCTATAGTCGCCTAGAAGCCAATAAATCCTAAATACGGCTCTGTAAAATTTACAACGATTTATAAAACAATAATAATAAAATATATTCATGAATACGTAAATAACACTAAAACATACAGATACGGATAGTAAATTTACATGTATTAAGTAGACGAAAGTACATTTTTCATTTATGCGTACATATTAATTCACGTATTTAATTAAGAACTTTATAGTACCTACCTATATGTGTTGTACATATTTTTTCTAGGATGACCAGTAAGAAAAAAAATAAATCAAAACATAAAAAAAAGAAAGGACATTTTAGCAACGAGGACGACAGCTTAAGGATACTTTTGCAAGACGAAGCTACGGTGTATTATAAAATGGAAAACTACGAAAAAGCCATTCGGCAATATACTGCGGTAAATATAGATGCTGTATATATTAATTATTTAATAATTATAATTAATAGGACTGGGGATTTATATGTAATTACATATTTTTATTAACATACAATAAATTAATTTGGGCAAATGATAAATTCGTTCCACGTGATTTGACTTAAAATAAAACGCAATTTATTTTACATTTTTTTTTAAATATTTCATAAATTTTATTCACAATACTAAAAAGTAAAATAATTTGTCAATTCACATCATCAAAATTGGTTGTTTAATAGTATTATACATTTATACTTCGATAATAGTACTCGTAAAAGTTTCAGTAAGTGTTTATAGTTATTGCATTGGTTGTTATTTAGGACTGGGATTTATAACACTATAAAAATTATTGATACTGAAAGTATCAATTAAATATTAATAACTCGACTTTAGTTAATCTTTCCTGTTTCTGTTCAATAGCCATAACATAATATTATTTAAGATTATTTATAACTTGATTTTTCGCCTAGTGAAATAACATTCATGAGCCCATGAAGTATACACCAATAACATCCTGTGATGTGGAACGTTCATTTAGTAGATATAATTCATTGTTAAAACCAAATTGTAATTTTAATTTTGAAAACTTAAAACACTATATGGTTTGCAATTGTTTTACTTTAAATTGAAATTTGTTTATTTTTTATTACATTTTTTTTATTTTTTGTGCACCTATCATTTTATTATGTAATCCCAACCCACCTAAATTATGTAATAGGACTATGCTTAAAGTGAAAACACTACGTAAACATGTAATATTGAGGTAAGCACTTTCATTGGCGTATATCATGAAGAGGTTGTCTTTAGGATTACCGAAATCAATTCAAACATCTCTATTTCCAGTGAAATTATGCTATACAATAACCAATAATAAATCTCAAGATCAAACGTTCAAAGTAGCTCGCGTAGATCTGAGAAACGATTGCTTCTCCCATTAAAAATTGTACGTGGTCTATTCCAAAGTAAGTTCATCTGATATTTTATAAATCTTGCAGCCTGAAAATAAAACTAAAAATGTGGTTTAAAAAAAAGATTTATAAAAATAGCGCAATTATAAGTGATTTATAAACAATCATGGAAATTATTTGAAGGTCGATAAATATAATTTTCTCTATATTTTCTCTTTAGCCAGGGTTTAACAAGGGAGCAAATAGTTAAAATATTTTAATTGTAATTACGGTGGTTATTTACGATGGAAATTAAAGAAAACAACTTTAACCACAAGGAATGACATTATCCGTTTAGTTAAATATCAATTTACGAATTTATGAAATTACAGTTTTATTATTTTAATTTTGTAAATTAGTCTATTTTAGATGTTTCAAGTGTAGCGTCTTTTTTGTAAGGGATATTTATCTAGTATCTGCTTTAGGGAGGTTGTTTTTTTATTTTCAAGCTGTTGTAATAATAATTGGGAAAAATCAGAAAAACGGGAAAATAGATAAAATATTATTAAAAAAAATATATATTGCATATAAAATTATTTTATGAATATGGCATGTATATTGTAGACAAATCATCACTATCAACTGAACTCCTCTCAGAATTGTTTTTTCGTTAGCAATGGTTTATTGTTGCTTACAGATATACATTAAATTCCCGTCTGTATCTTACTTTTCCAACTTCCCACCTACAACAGTGGCTATACCCACGTGCGAAGTATGTCCGTGTTTTTTGTTGTAATTCAGTTAAAAACATTTGTAGAGACTTAAAATTTTTACTTTTCTAAACGTGGCAGAATTTTAAAAAACATTTTGGTGATTTTTAAGCTTTTAGACATTTTACATTATCTTGATTCTTTACGTAAATTTTATTCGTTAGTTACTTTCTATGGATAAAATTGTTAGATTAAACAGAACTACCTGCAAATTTAACAGGAGGTTCATTATAAGTTGCACTTAGTGGCCAACAAGAAAAAGTTGAGTTTAATCTAGTATTTTATTTTTTTTTTTTTTATAAAAATTTTAATATCATAGTTTGGCAAAATTCGCAAATATTACCGCATTTTAAAAAAAGTATAACCGAACTCTGCTCAAATCATATTTCGTTAACAATGTTTAATCTTTGCGTACATTGAATTCCCCTCTAAATCCTATCTTCCTAACTTTTCATTAACAATAGTGGCTTAACCATTGTGCGAAGTATGTCCTTTTTTTTATCTTGAATATCTACCGTCTCGTTCGAGTAAAATTTACTTAACGTAAAATCTACGCGGCGCACGAGGACGTAATATTCCTTCGGCCGTCCGGTGAGTAAAGCTCATTACTAAAAGTTTCGGGAAACTTTTTGCTGCCATGTGTGTCGAAGGAAGAACCTAGCATATACGACAAATTAGCGCCCAACGTGGGATTCGAATCTACTACCCCGAGATTAAGAGTGTCGTGCTCTACCGACTGAGTTAGCCGACAATTTTTTTCTAGGTACATGCATTACGTTACTAAGGTATACTTGCACTCTTCTAATTACCAAACAATATGCATTATTACTCTAAGCGCATTCACTTAGAGAACGTTTTAAATTAAAACTAATAGTAAGTGACATAATAATAGTGATATTATTAATTGTGTTTCGAATTTTATATTGAGCCTCGTAATTTTAAAAAGATTGGAGGCACCCCGGGGTAAAAGCCCTCATTTCCCCTCCCTTTGAACATAGCCATGATAATACGTAAAATTCTAGATTAGTGGTTCTTAAACTTTGCACACGGACCCCTGATGAAAGACTTTTAGAAATCGCAGACCATCTACCAATACCTTTCTTTTTTTACAAAATATCCTATGTTATCGTAATCAATATTTACCAATAAAGTCATCGCGGACCCCCCACTTGAATACCGTGGACTCCCAGGGGTCCGTAAACCACAGTTTAAGAACTACTGTTCTAGATTGATGTTCTTATCTTTAATTTGCATATACAGTAGAACCTCGATTATCCGAACCTCCGTTATATGAACCCTCTATTGTCCGAACTATAATTAGCGTATCCGAACAAGAAAACTCCTATCGTATTGTAGACTAGCGTATCTTTAGCCCGTCTTTATAATATGGGTGAAGCAACAATTACAGATATTAAAAACAACCGTCATGCAATCATGGATTTTGCGTCAAAGATGGATAGTGGTGATGGAATAAAAAGAAGGAAAGTTATGAAAGTCGCAAAATATCCAAATCTTGACAAAGCAATGGAAATGTGGTTTATACAAAAACGAAGCTTAAATAAACCAATTTCTTCGTTGCAAAATGAAGAAAGTGACGACAGCAGTAGTGATGAAAGTATGGGTACACCAAAAGGACCAACATCTGCTGAAGCATTTGCTGCATTTGAAACTGGTCTTGAGTGGTTTGAAAAACAGGCCGAATGTTGTCCAACACAATTACTTCTTCTAAAACGTTTGCGAGACTTGGTTGCAGAAAAGCGCGTTGCAGCTCATCGTCAAATTAAAATTGATAATTTTGTCAAAAATATATAATAAATAATAAATGTAATGTATTTCTAATAATGTATGTAATAGATTTCTAATAATGTGTGTAATGTATTTCTGATAATGTAATGTATGCAATACTAATAAAATATTAATAATAATAACAAATATTAAATTATAAAAATAATAAATAATTAATACATAATATTATAAAAAATGTTTTATTTTATATTTCCAATATCCAAACATTTGCGTATCCGAACTAGGTGCGATCCCAATTAGTTCGGATAATTGAGGTTCTACTGTAGGTACACACATTCTAAAATCACTTTGAATGGTTGGTATTTTATTTTCTGGTTAAAGTGATCGTTTTAAACAAATTACACGATTACACTATAAATTAATAATATAATATTATTATACTTGTTGACAGGATAACTTTTTATTTTATTTTTCGAAAGTGAATTTGAATATTGACGAGTCGGTAAATTTTAATTTTTTCGAAAATTCCTCATGCTCGTATCTATCACCGTCGCGGTTAACCAGTCAGAAAATGACTATTTCACACGACACGACGAGTCGAGAACCCCTATCCCTACCTCCCCACTTTTATGTGCGCCGGAAATAAAACGTAAATAAAATCGATTCGTTCTTATAAATCGTTGTGCGATATAAAACGCATAACGACGACCGATACAACCCGGCCGATCGACTGATTAGTGTGCGAGTATTAATGCCCGTTTATGGGTTACGGCACGGCATACGCGACATGGCGCGACAATTGACAAATGCGTTTCTAACCGACCGCCGCGGTTCGTGTCATTGAAATATTGGGTTACCGTGATAATATTAGATAATATTATATTATTATTTCCGCGAAAGGACTGCATAAGTAAGTATACATAATATAATACCGTATGGCAATTTAACGCCACCGCACGCCAACACCCGTCTGCGCACCCATTTCTCCGCGGTACCGATACCTACCAATACTTGCTTATCGGTACTAAGCGGTTAGCGGGTGCGGTCGCCACGGTAACCCAGAGGTGTTGAATCGAATTTTTTTTTCGCGTTTTCCAATCATACACAACATAAAATACGCGTACGCCGTACACCCGTAACCGCGTTTATTGGCAGTCGTTGTTCATCGGGGGCCCACCATGGCCGGCATGGGCGACACGTCGGGCGACATACAGCGGGTCAGTGACCACGTCAAGGACATACTGCAGATGACCCGTGACTCGGAAATGATGCAGAGCTACGTGCGGGTTGGCAAGGTCGACGACGACTCGGATGACGACGGGGGAGGCGGCGGCGGCGCGAGTTGCGGTGGCGGCGGCGGTGACGGAATCGGTGCTGGCGGTGGTGCCGTTGTTGGCGATTTGGAGTCGGACGGCGGTGCGGGAGTTATTGGCCATGGAGGGGTCAGCAGCGGCGTAGGTGCGGCAGGAAGCGCGGTTGACGGACGACGTGGCAGAAAGAGCAGAACCGTGACGGCCGGAAGGAGGTTCAGGAGACGTAAGGGCGGCGGCGGTGGTGGTGGTGGTGGGACGGGTTTAGGTGGAGGTGTCGGCGGTGGCGGTATGACGACGACGTTCAACGAATTGACCGAAGAGTTCAAAACCCGAAAATCAGGCACGGGCGGCGGCGGTGGAGGAGTAAGTGGCGGCGGTGGGTTCGGCGGCGGTTGGGCCAGACGGCACAAACGAGACTCACGGTCTAGGTTGCTGGAAGAGGTGTATACGGACAAGGACAGGGCGGCCGCCGTCAATCTGGGCACGCGCGACATCAAGGCGTCGTTGCGCATGAAACGTCGACAGGACCGGAATCGGACTCTGCACATCCCGTCCACTGCCGAATCGCCTACCCTGCTGGCCCTGGCCCGGCACTGCATCAACGACGTCAGCGTGTCACTCGAGTTTATCGACAAGGTTAGAAGGCGCGCGCTTCGATCATCATTATGCGGTACCGCCATAGTGAAAAATGAGTGAAACTAGAAGGGTGCTAAAGTGGAAGCTGGCCATATCCCCTCCCCCCCGAATCTACCTGGGTCTACTAAATGGATTTTTTTTTTAATACAAGGTCAATTTGACAATTTAACGAGAAAAAAATAGTTTTATAAAGTCAGGCGGTCGATTGATCTTTTCTGTTCCCTTGAAAAATAAACTACCTCATACGCTCTTGTGTTGACGGGGCTTTTTTTTTATGTAGAACGTGATAGTACATTGTTTATTGAAACGAGGCAAAATACGTCACCTATCAAAGAGTCATCCGACCGTAGGATGATTTTTTTTTTTTAAATACCAATTTGCAAGTTCGTGTGAGGCGAAAAAAGAGATAAAATTATAAACGGTATTTGATTCCTCTTGTTCATTTTAATGCCCATCAATTCGACTATTTATCAAATCCATCACGTCAAGTTAGGTTAATATTTGTATTTGTTTACAATGACAAAGTGCGAGGAAATGCTGTCAGATTTTTTAAATGTGGATGGAGAACATGACAAATGAAAATTATATATAATTATTCAAGCAAAATGTATCTTAATCTATTTTATACGATCCTCTCCTTTATTTAGGTTATTTTAAATGTACGAAAATGTGTAGTGTATAATTATTTGCAGGCGCGTGCACAAGGGGGGGTTTTAAGGGTACGACCTCCCCCACACCTGAAATTTCATAAAAATTATGATAAAAGTAGATTTATAATAGTCTTAAAAGTAATCTCTGTCAACGAGGAAGATAAATAAAATTTTGGTTTTATTTGAATTTTATTGCCTACTAGATAGTAGGTATATATTGTTATTATTATTGTCATTTCTAATTTGTTGTGATTTTCTTGCTTTTAGAAAATTATAACTGATACGGCAATATTAGTCGCATAGTCCGCATTATCATCTCAATAATATAAATTACATTATCATTTAGGCTGTAATTTACTAAAAATATTTTAAAAAAAATAATTAAATGTAAAATGTATTAATAGGTACCTAAAAGGCTAAAAATGAATGTTATAAAATAATAATATTTTTAATGAAAAATAAATAATCCTACGATTAAAAGCATGTAAACTTCTTTGTTATAAGAGTATGAAAGTGTACAACCTTAATCCCCCTCCCAGAAGTATCTTTTTGTAAACGTACCTGACTATTTGTACTTATAAGTTGTATAGATGAGTTAGTATTATGCAAATGTGCAATAATAAGTATTTAATTAGTGATACGTCTTCAATACTGAACAATTTATGGCCAGTGATTGAATTGGAAAAAAATTAAAAGAGGACACAAAAATATAAAAAAAATGGGCATACTTTAAAAATTGAATTCTGTTTATATGTCAATTCATGGTCATAATATCCATTCAGAGCCGGCGGTAGGGATACATGAAAATTAGCGGTGATGCCCCACTCCCTCTGATCCAAAAAAAAAACTTGAAAATTTCGAGTACTGAGCTGGCAATTCAATTTAATTTTAAATTCAATAAGACTTATAATTTCTTAATTTGTTTTATTATTGTAATTTATAATTTGTTGCCTATATATATTATTACTGTCAAATGTATTACCTACTTATCAATGAGCAAAAAAATGGGTAAAAAGATTTGTTAAAGTCAGTAAATTGTCTATAAGTAGAGTCGTAAAATTTAAATCGCACTTCTCCGTCGTATTTTTTTTAAGGCTCTGTGCTCATTATGGAAATTCAGAAGGGGTAAGATAACATATTTTTAAAAAGAAGAATTTCTCTATCTTTCGCGTCCCCTTGCCTCAATTTAAGCATCGTTTATGACACTTTACATGGCGATTAATGAAAATAAAAACAAGTACAATACAATTATATAATTTGGATTATTAACTTCAAGTCAAGTCAACTTAAAAAAATTTAACTTTAAAAGATATCAAATTTGTATTATATTTTTTTCAATTATTTTCATTTCAGTTCACCGCAATTATTTTATTGTATTTGTATGTAAATTATAAGACATTGACACGTCGTCACAATATTTTAATAGCCTGTGCTATATATATTAATAATTACTATCGAGTCTCAATTACTCGTACCAATATAAATAAAAATGACGTACAAAAAGGTAAGGCGTGCGAGACGACAAAAATATTAATATTTATCGTATACCTAATGTCCTAATATCTTGTTTTTATTTTATATTATTTCTAATGTCAAAGCCGTTAAGTGATTTCATTGAATACGTATTGTATATAGAATATGTTTATTGATCAGCGTTTTTTTTTTTTTTTTTGTTAATGTTATATTTTATTATTATTTTTAGGCTTTAGAATTGAGTCCGAACGATAAAACTGCTTTAGTTTCCAGAAGTAAATGTTATTTGTTGCTTGGACAACCGCGTTTGGCTTTGAAAGACGCCGAAGTGGCATTGAACGAGGACAGCAGTTATCTGAAAGGTATAATACGATTTTTAAATAATTATTTTTTTATCTCAGTATAAACGCATTCTTTCAAATTTATTTTTATATAAGTCATATTATGTACTAAATGAACAACAATTTAAATGATTAAATATCTTAAATTGAATATTTTAAACTAGCACGTACACATATTTCATTATTTTTCGGTTAAACTTCCTATACCAAGGTTGTTGTTTATTTGTATTTTATTAATTTGTCAGTATATAATGACAAACGTTCTATAACATAAAAATTCGCAGTCCCTCTGTTCTTCTATACAAACTAAACGGTCAAGAACCGATGTTCATCCTGTTCAAAAACCAAAACTATCAATGGGTGTCTGTTTTGAATCGCGGTTTTACATTATTCACTATATTCACCGCAGTTGGCTTATTATAGTCGTGGTAAACACCGAAACGACATTACTTTTCCTGATATCCGATTTTCCGATATTTAATACACATACAAGACCGATTCGATATTTGAAACATGAGTCGATATTGAAATTAACTAAGTCGAAAACATAATTTTTTAACCTTTTTAATAATATTCCAGCAACATTATTATTATTATTATTATTATTATTAAGTCTATTAAATGTTATGGATGCCGACAAATTTTAATCATACGGAAATTTCAAACGGTCCCAACATTTTCCTTTATACCTATATTGTAGTGTTGCGCGTAATCAATTAATTTACGATTAAATTATATAATCAATTACGATTAATTTATTAAATTAAATTAGTTATTAATCGTTTAATTATTTTTCAAAATAATCAATAATCATGATTAAATATTTCTAATCGTTAATTATTATTGCCAAATTTATCGCATTACAACTATATTATACATTATACAATTTATTGTATATATAATACTGTTTTAACTATCATTAGCGCTCTAGAGTAATCATCATATTATGTTTAGTGTCTAAACTTAATAACCATTTAAAGTCTGATACCTAAATACTGATAAATACGGATTTAGATGATTAAGTATAACTCTATATAAAATGAAATAAAATATCTATAGCTATAACAGTGAAACTTCCTCTAACGGACATCTGCCAATAGGGGGAGGGGAATTTTCACTACTATTCAATTGGAAAACCTTTGAAAAGTGAATTAATAATGTTTATCTCAAAATAAAACTGTTATTCGTTAATATTATTAATGATTAAAATTGTAATCATGATTACAAATTAAAGCATTTTGTAATCGTAATAAACTCTATGATTAAATTATTACTTTAATCATTTAAAATATTTTTTTATTGTGATTATTGATTATATTAATCTATATTATGATTAACAACTAGACAGTTTAATCGTAATCTTTAATCATTAATACGATTACGATTTGCCCAACACTGCTATATTGTCGTATCTCGTTTGATTTATAAAAACTAAAACAAAAATAAAATCTATCCGATTCTAGTCCAATTCTTTTTCACAGCCATATACCAGAAAGCGGAAGCGTTATACCATCTGGGTGATTTCGAACACAGTCTCGTGTTTTACCACCGGGGACTTCATGTCCGGCCAGAACTCGAACAATTTCGGTTGGGCGTACAAAAAGCTAGAGAAGCTATCGAGAACGTTATCGGTAAGTTTTCTATAATCACTCGAAACAATAATAATTATTATAAATAACATTAACGCGTTAATTAGTGAGATAATAGGCTAGTTTTGGTGATGCAATTTTGAGCGACTTTGTTACTAGTTTATTAACGAACAAGAACAGTTTTGACGATACTGTTTACTGCAATTATTTGATAACTTTACTAAATGTACTTTTAACAACTCGGTACCCGGTTTAGCAAACAATTTAAAACTATGTTTACTGTCTCCGGTTGCTGGTTAGTGGTTATCCATAACTGTACAATAAACAAAACGTTTTGGTGGTATTGTACATCGCGATGTAGCAAAATGTTTACCAAACACGTTTGTTGTATTTTTATATTTGCGCGTTCCGCAAGTACAATATAATATTAGGCAAACAATAATCGTCTTACGTTCCATGATTATTGCAAGGCCAATTTTCAACTTGGCTAACTTCGACTCATTACTATAGGTCCCCCTATAACCTATACATATTTGTTACAATTTTAATTTTACTCGATCTTATGCACATAACTAAATCAATTTTTATGAGATTTTAATGTTTTAATTAATACGATAAGTATACTTAACTAATATAGACATAATTGTGTTAACAAATGAAGTCTCTATGATTGAAATAATTAAATTAACTCTATCTATTTATAATATTGCAATAAATTATAATTACCAAGCCCCATATATATTTCAGATGACATTTATATTATTTTATGAATATTAATATGGTATAAATAGAAACCACGCGCAAAAAAAAAAAAACTGTTGACAATAAATTTATATGAATCTCGTTTCATTTGCGTCGGTGTTATATAATTTGTATGCGATATGAACCGTATATTAAATCCGGGTCGTATGAAAACAGTTCTATAAACTTTTGGTTTGGTAGCTATAGTTTCTATAAAATTACAGTTATTGAACAGATTGCGTTTTATGAATTAATTTCATTATTTAAATACGATAGTAGGTACTATCTACGTTTATAATTTAAGAATTTTATTCTTACAAAACTTTTAAGTGTTATAACAATAACAGAATAGGTATGTATTAAAAAAAAATTTTAATTAAATTCTAATTGATTAATTGTATTCGAAGTTTGAATAAGGAGTATTCATAAGTTTGTTTATAAGTTGTATTTACACAATAACGGTTTCTGTTATATTCGATGTTGTATTTTTATTGTAGTTCAGTAAGTAATAATCATAAAAACCAGAAGTTTAGGCTAAAAATACAGGTACGCCGTTCTCTTGTATCCCCCCCCCACCTACCCAAAGTCAAACATTGTTTTTATGTCGACACACAGAATAAGCTTCAGAAGAAGAACATTGAATTATGTTTTCACGTGATAAAGAAATTATAATTGAAATAATATGGAAATTTACTACAGAATACTTTTAGAATCAACAGTTCTACACATATTACAGAACTGAAATTAGTTAAACAAATTATCGATTCGATAACTCTGTCCCTGTAATTCATAACATTAATTAATTGTATTGCACCGATTGTCAGTTATCAATTTTGTATAGTTTCATGCAACACCCGACTTAATAATATTAATATTTAATATTATAATATAATAGTATAATATTTTAATATGTTAACATATATAGGCGGCTATATTTGCTGTTTAAAGTCGATGTATACGAAATACCGTATTTTTGAATTGGTCAATGGCATGTAAGCATTGTATACCTACAAATCAATATTTGTCGGTACTACGAGTTACGACCTATGTGCTATCAAATACGCGTATAGAATTTGTTTTAAATTCTGAATGGAGTAAGGAATGTATTGGTTTTGCAATAATTTTTAAATTTTTTTCTGTAAACAACTTTTCTACCAGAAGTCTTGCTGCGACGTATTAAGTGTAACACTTTTTCTGAGGGGAATTTTATCTAGTTGGTACTTTAAGGTGGCCATTTTTAATATTTACTAACTTCTAATAACTAACATAAAATTCCTTACGACAATATGTCTAAGTTTGCCGACGACTGTATCATTCACTGTAGCGGAGTCAACACCAAAACCACCATAGAACTTCTACAAACAGCAATAAACTCCTTGCTTAACTGGTCATCAACATCAGGCTTTAAATTTTCACCCACAAAAACCCAATGCATAATTTTCAATAAGAAGAAAAGTGACATATTACATCACGTTTACCTAAACAGTAATAAAGTTAACTACACCGACAACATTCGCATACTTGGAATTGTTTTCGACAGCAAATTTACATGGTCCCCACACATAAAAAAACTTAAGGTCGAGTGCAAAAATAGGATTAAAATTATTAAAACGCTCTCCCATCATTCTTGGGGAGCAGACAAACATTGCCTGCTCACCATATATAAATCGCTTATACTCTCCAAAATCGACTATGGATCCATAATATATAATTCAGCAAAGCCAAAAATCACCAATACGATCGACCCCATACACAATGAGGGAATCAGACTCTCCATCGGTGCTTTTCGTACCAGCCCAGTCAATAGCATTCTTTGCATAGTAGGAAAACCCCCTTTGCAAATTAGAAGGAACAGAGAAATCCTTAAGTACATATCAAAAAAAAATATCCTTACAGCACCATATAACATCCAAAATACTCATGACTACCCCTAGATCCAGCGATTCATGTCAGCACACCAAAATCATCGATACATACAGAAAACTTTGCGAAAACTTCACATTTGATATCGAACCTTCGTCTCCCTATAACATCATTCCCTTTTGGAAAAGACACATCAATATAAACACTCAACTTCTCCTACTTAACAAGCACAACACAATACATGCACTAATAAAAGCAAACTTCAACGAAATTGTAAACTCTGAATTTCACGACTATACCCAAATATATACCGATGCTTTCAAAAACGCCAATGGTGTGGGATTCGCCTATACAACAAGCTCATCATGTAAGCTTTACAAACTCCCTCCTGAAGCTAGCATATTCACCGCAGAATCTCAAGCCATCAAAGAGGCTCTAACATACACAAACTCAATGACTTCCAACAANAGCGCCCTCTTAGCCCTCGAATCACCAAACCCCTCCAATGAAATTATTCAACAAATACACAACATTCTAGCTAGGTCTAAGAAAACCATCCAATTCATGTGGGTACCGTCGCACACAGGCATAATGGGAAACGAAAAAGCTGACGCACTAGCAAACAAAGAAACCGCATTACCTGATGTAACATTTATAAACAGGCTAACTTACCAGGATGTATCAAAAAAAATAAACACACTAGCAAACGCAACATGGCAAAAATCTTGGGACTTAATACCACTTTCAAACAAATTAAAAGAAATTAAAAAAAGCATTGGTAAATGGCATACCTCAACTAATTTATCCCGACGTGAAGACATTGTAACTACCAGGACAAGATTAGGACACACTAATCTTACTCACGTACACCTAATCAAACATGAAGAACCACCCATATGCACTCAATGCAACGAACAACTAACGATAGGAGTCGGATTTAAGTCGGAGTAAAGGATTTCCTTTCAGAAAATGTGTTATACTTGATAATTGGAGTATGCTTGATGGTAGAAAAAGTGGTCACATAAAAAAAAAAAATCATTGTAAAACTAATACATTCCTCACACCACTCAGAATCTAATATCATTGTATAAGAATCATAATATGAAATACCTATTTTACATTTATTTTAATGGATTCAAAGCATATACAATTTTTTTTTTTGGATACTTTATTATTTTCTAGGGGGAGACATGTCACCTCTTGCCCTCCCCCCAATGGATACCCATGGGTACTTGTATCATTCTCTGCTCTGGCTTATATACGGTGATTTACACGCTGTATAGGCAAATGAAAATTGGTCCGATTATATTTATATTTTTTTTGGTGGGATTCTTGTTGGACATAACCCCCTGATATTATACATGTCACTTATGTTTTATTTCATTATGTTTTATTATTAATTTATAATATATCTTTCTTTCATTAAAACAAACTGAGTTGCCAAATGTACATTTTAAATAGGATTAATTCATTAATCATTAATTAAAAATAATTATTAATTAAAATAGTTTGCTCACGGAGGCGAGTGTCGCGCAATCGGCTTAGTGCGTCAACACAAGCTGTTATCAACAAATTAACCAATAAATTGCAATTACAGAAATTGTATTTGTTTACAATTTTACACTTTAACATTTTTAATAATATTTTTAAATTTAACGCTTAAACTGTTAATTTATTAAATTTATTATGTTGGTATACAGAGATTTATACTCACACGTAACATAAGATTGTTGTAAACTAATATAGTTTTTAATAATAATATAATAATTATTAGTACTATACTTATAAAATTTGTTTCCTATTAAAGAAGCCCACAATTAAAAGCTATAAGAAAAATACGACACAGTAAGTTATAAAGGGGACTGACACCCCTGCCCTTAAAATCAATATTCAATAATAATCATAATAAATTTAGGTGTATATATAATGACTATACTCATAAGTGCCCACTTGTATACAAAGGTCTCCAAACCAACTGCTTTTTTTGTAGCCAACTGCAGATTATGTAGCATAGAGTTTATAAATCGTGTTTAACCGACAGTAGGTAGTAGACTACCTACTGCAGTGTTCTGTACTTACCGGCTGTAATGTTTATTTGAATTTTTTTTTGTAAATAAAAATATTTGAATAATATGTAGTGAAAGTACTGAAGTAAAAAACAACTTGAATAGTTTTTTCAAATATAAGTATTTGATCGTGAGAATAATATTCGAATAAAATATTTGATAGTTTGGCTAAACTATTGAAAACAAATAACCAGAAAATAACTACACTTTTTTCAAAAATGCACTTTCCAATGGTAGGTATAATTATTTAAAAACAAAAATTCTCTACATTTAGGTGCAGCAATCAGATGAATCTGATATAGTATTCAATAGGAATTGGACGTATCTTTTTTTTATAATGTTGGTTCAACCATAAGATAAATCCAAAAAAATAAAAATAATTATATTATTCATGAACAATTTCAAAAAGTGGAGTTATCTGGTTGTCACCCTAATATCTCCAAATGTTACAATATACAACTGTATTCCAGATCTTATAAATGCAATACATTTTGTTCTGTTCAATATTTGTAAGTTTTTCTGTTTTGTAATAATCACTAAAATCTTGCACTAAGATTCTTATATTTAAAAAAGATAACAATTTCATACATTTATATTTTGAAACAAACTTTTGGTGTTAAAAATATTTAGTATCAATGATGAGTCGTTAATTTTCTTCTTTTTTAATTCTACGAGAGTTTAAACTGTTTTAATTACCACTACTGAAATGTCAATCGATTTACTATGAATACAACGATGTTGTAAATGATTTCTGTGAACTTCTAAAAATTGTAGATGACTCATCAAATTTGTTAAACCGTTATTTTAGATTTTGTAATAAAATTTAATTTGTATAGATTTAATAGTTTTCAATAAAACTATACAAGATAAAAGAACCACAAAGTAAGACTTATAATTACTAAAAAAGAAATACATATATACACAATGGGACCACCTGTATTTGTTCACATAACCATTCGTGTCAAAAAAAGACATTCTAACGGCCGCAGTAAGCGAAACTGTCCTTGTTCTGCCCTATGCAGTAGCTATTTAATGTCCCGTATACTTCCGTGTTTCATACCTACGAGACGAATACAATTTTGCTCAGGGAAAATGAAGGACAACGCTGTCATACTTCAACAGTTCGGCAGGGATGACAGAGCAGTAATCTCCGGGAGTAGAGGGAGCAGAGTGTCGACACCGGCCACGACTACCACCGCCCAGTCGTCTGTTCGGCGCAAAGGCGCGACTACCAGAAATCAATCTAAAATGCTGCTCAGAGAATTGTGCGTGGACAAAGATTATTTGGAACACTTGACGATCGACCCGAGTAAATAATACGCCTGAATATAATTTTTTTAATAAAATCGAATTATGTCCAAAATTAAAAATAAAATAATAGTTTGTATATAGTAAATATTATACAGGTGTCCCACAACAATCGACGGATTTTTCTGGCGCTGTTAATATTAAATTTTTTCCAATTTTCCTTCAATCAGTTTGTCTTTGAGAGGGGCATCAATTTAGAGAAGAATTAAATTTTTATTTTCATCCCCTAAAGACAAAAAACAAATAACTTTTTATTTATTCACTTTAAAAAATTTTCAAAATAGCCATTTTGTAAAAAATTTCAATTTTTCAAACACACACTCATATCAGATGAATGATTTCTTAGCTATAGCCGTTTTAATTAAGCCAAAAAACAATCAATATTCAATAAAATATTACGTTATGAGATAAGGAATTACAATCAGTACGGTAATTCTTTACCTTCTATTGAATATTAATTGTTTTCACGTTTATTTTCTAGAAATTAAAACTTATTAAAATTACTAAACTTACTAAATTAAAAATTAATTAAGAAACTATTAATCGGATATGAATTTATAATACATTCAAATTTTTAGAATAATACTTTTTACATAATGGCTACTTTGAAAATTGTTTCAAGTGAATAAATAAAGTTTTGTTTAAAATAGAAATTTATTTTTTCTCCAAATCAATGTCCGTCCCCCTCGAAGATAAACTGATTGAAAAAAAAAGTAGAAAAAAATGTAATATTAACAGTGCTAAAAAAATCCGTCGAACACTGTGGAACACACTGTATACATGTGCTATACAGTCAGTCACAGTCGTTTAGGAATTGCCCCGGAAATTGCTCTACCCCGATATTGATACAAACTACTTTACGGGACATTGTATGCTGAATTTACAGAGTTAAAAAATAGGTAATAAAATTTAAAGAAAAAAATATTTTCGATGACAATACGATATTTTTTTTGACAGTTTTTTAGAAAAAAAAATTTCGACGTATTTAAAATATAGTATTATTTAACTTTTAAAAACTGTGTTACTTGTCCAACAGCAGCTGTGTTATTAACTCTAATTTCAGCATTGAGTAACATAATTTTAATATTTTACTATATTGCTTGTTAGTTAAATTTAGCCAGGAAATGCGGTTATTGGACTAAGTTTTCTATCAATATAATATTACGAATATTATACAAATAGGCAAATGATTAATACCAATCTATATCACACAAGTTTTTTTATTAAATCACCGCCATCGATATTATACTAATATCTACTATATTGCAGGGATCCAAAACAAGCTAACAGGGGGAGAGGGGCGATTTTTAAAATGCATATAAAACTCGCATTTAATGATGAATCAAGCCAGGAGTGCAATGTAACTAAGAGTATTGGAGAGTGAACGGGGAGGGATCGTCCTTATCGCACCCTCCTGAATCCACCCATGTTATATCGATAATATTATAGATATAAGTATATAAATAATTTAGGTCGTATGGTAATCTTTTTAATTTGGAATATTGACCTATCTAATTAGACATTTTTTAATGACTAAATTATTACTAAATATCTAACTAAATACTCATACATTATATAGATAATTTGTTTCGAGTAATAGGATTTATGATTTTTAATTTCAATATTATGAATTACTTATTTTGCTCAGATATTCTTATAATCCAATTTTGATTGTGTTTTCATAACATATAGTAAGGAAATAAATCCCAATTATATTATTCATTCTGTAACTATATAACTAAAACACTATTTACCCGGGAATAAAACGTAAAATATTATATTATATTGTATACCATTATTGTAATACAAAATATTGTTTCTATATATTTATTTACATCCATATATTTTGATCGTTTGTGTCTCGTGTAATTATAGTTTTTCCGTTTTAGATAACATTCCCAGTGCACCAAAACTTTTCTACAGAAAATTCGAAATGTATAATTAAAATATATTATTATAGTCGTTTTATTTGTTTGACTCAGACATTGTGAGCGCCATCCAAGAAAACGACAACTATATACTATCCGAAGCGAAAGACGGCATAAACTTTCTGAAAGGTCGAGAAGAATTTTGGAAACAACAAAAACTCATTATGTAGTATATTATTTGTTTTGCTTGAATCCGCACAAAGTTTTCGAAAACACATACAAATATTTAATCTAATCCAATAGTAAATAGTTGTGATAAACATCAAAAATTGTTGTACACTATTCATTGTTTTTTTTTTATTTAGTATGATATATTTATAAACTTTAATGTATTGAAAAAAAAATTGTTGTCATTTAAATAGCTTACACTGAATGTAGATTTTTGTCAATCAATTTTGTTTATCTAATACTTAGTACCCGTTAATACCTATACACATTAACAAATCACTAATTAAACAAAATTAGTGTTGAATACAAAATAAAGTAGTATAGGTACAGTGAAAACTCTCTATAAAGAATCTGTAGGTGCCAAGTAACTCAAGGATATTTCTTTCGCTATACAGAGTTTTCGTAATAGAGAGAGAATTAAAAAAACAAACTTTAAATTATTTATGTATAGAGGTACATATACCTATGTATTTACTTGCCATAACGAATGCTATAAGCGCACTAGTGCACTACTGTGATCATGCGTTTAATGTTTGATGTTTCGTCGATAATGATCGAATTATTATGATGATAAAAATAGATAAAAGAATATAATCTGGAAACTTCGGAATTTATAACGATTATTTGTATAATTCATAACATAAAAACACGACAATTTTATTATGAAACGTAAAATATTTTCTCGTTATTTACAGTGACTAATACGCTCTATAGTGGTCGAAGTGGCTCAAAATAAGTGGAAGGATGCCTGAACTTTTATACTATTCTAATATTATGGCTTATACACGTGGGGGTAATTGGAGGTGGAGATGAGTCAAACCCAATAGCCCTTATTTTTATAATACAATTATTTCATATATAGTATACATTTTTGTTTTTATTTTGGTGTTTTATTTGTTGATGAATTTAAATTTGTATATATATAATTATATTTTTATTTAAAACGTAAAATATATTTAAATAAATATATAATTTATGCACATACAGTTTATCATTAGATTATGTATTCGTTATGCGTTATATCATTTTACAATAGGTATAAAAACAAATACAAAAACTTAACTATTTATACATTAGTCATTACTATAGTCCATCGTTTCTCAACCTTTTTAGTGTCGCGACCCCCAAAATAGGTATAAAATATAGTCAATCACTTCGCGACCCCCCCCCCCCCCCNGCTTATCAAGTTTGTATCGGGTCGTTAGGAATTTCCATTAGTGGAGTAGAGGAAAAATAGTGGTTTAATAGTAAAATTAAAAGAATTAATGCCACATATTGAATGGACACATTGTTTTCTTCACAGGCATGCACTTGCCGCAAAAAAAATGCCAGATAATTTAAAAAATGTGTTATCTGAAGCTGTAAAAATAGTAAATTATATTAAAAGTCGACCGCTGCAGTGCAGATTATTTTCCACACTATGTGAAGAAATAGGCAAAGATCACACTAATTATTTATTTTTATGTTTATTAATTTTTTATGTATATCCTTATCGGGATAATTTTATTATTATTATTTTAATTTTTTCAATAAAAAATCTTAAATATTTAAATAAAAAGGTACATTTTGTAAATCAGCGTTTTATTATTTTTGATCTGCGCGACCCCGAGTCAAGGTGTTCGCGACCCCCTGGTTGAGAAACGCTGCTATAGTCTATAGACTATATAATGACATATGATATAAAAATACCAATATAAATCGATAATCTTTGAATATAATTATAAGGGGATGTATTATTTTGGACAAAATAAGTGGTGGGATGGCATCCTTCCGTATTCCCCACCTAACTTTCACAACTGACGCTACAGAGTATAAAGAATGTATTTATTAATAGGTTGTATATCAAATCAACCTTATAATGTACTATTTACGTTATATAGAACTTTTCGCTGTAACGAGTTTTCGTTATAAAGAGTTTTCACTGTATATATTTATTTTTAAATTTTAGTATTACAATACATGTTAAGAAAATAGACAGTTTACGTTAAATATATCTCTACATATTGTATTGTATGATTATTAATAAAAATTTTTCTTGGCAAATTTTCAGTTTAAATAAAATATAAGGTACATATATAAAAATTAACATTTACGTTGGTACATTACTTTGCACAATATACTTTTTTTCTGTAAAATGTCTGCTACGACATTGTCAGCAGTGGCAATCATATGATTTTTTCATAGAGGTAGGGGGTATAAGGATGATTTTTAAGAACCATTATTTTTATTTACATAGTATATAATATATAAATAAATAACACAATATACATAATATAGTTAAAAATATTTAAGAAAAATTAGGTAATGTGAGAGGATATATCCCCTTCATCCATCCACCGTTTTATCGCCCCTAATTGCCAGCTATGGTTTTTATACAAATAAAAATACAACAGTTAAGTAATAATATAAGCATAAATAAGATTGCATGACTGACGTATGTACAGATTTTCCCATTTTTCCTACGTTTTTCCATGTTTATTCTCGGTTGCTGGGAAAACTCCTGGAAATATCGAAAAATGATTTCTTTAAAGTACCTTCCCAGTCTGATTGCCTTTCAAAAATAATGTTACACTCGTAAAATGGAGCAATATTTCTAGTAGAAAATTTATTTACTGATAAAAAAAAAAATAAACATCTTTTTAAAACCATATAAGCTTCTTCACTCCGCTAAGAATCTAAAAAAAGAAAAACCAGGAAACTTTTGAAAATATTTAGAAAAATTTTTCTTAGGAGTTTTCCTAATAAACGAAGAAAAAACAGGAAAATTTATGAAATGTAGGTATTAGTAAAAAAATATTATTGCTTTTTATTCTCTGTGAACAACTTTAATTTAATTATACTATCATAATATGATATATATATATATTGTTGACAAATCAACTGAACTACATTCAGAATTGTTCTTTCGTTAGCATTGGTTTTTTCGTTAATTACAGATATATATTAAAGTTCCTATAACAGTGGCTGCACCCGTCTCCAATATCTTAGGACGTCTTTTTTTTTCTTGTAAACAACTTTTCTACCAGCAATTGTGCTCTGATTTTCAAGTGTTACAATTTTTATGAAAGGAAATTTGACTGGGGTAATTCATTATTTGATTTTTTCTGGAGATTTCCCAATAAATAGGAAATACATGTAACATGGTAAACACGGGGAAAAAATGGGAAAATAGATACTATAGAAAATAGAATATTAAACAAATATTATTAAAAAAAATACATAATGCATATGGAGTTATTTTATCGTAATTTCACATATTCTAATATATTGTTGACAAAGCAACACTATTAACTGAACTCCAATCGGCGCTCAAAATTGTTTTTCGTTACCAATGGTTAATCGTTGCATACAGATGTACATTAAATTTCTCCCCTACCTTCTTAACTTTACGTGCAAAAAATGTCCATCTTTTTAAAAATAATAATTTTGTGATGGTTAAATCATTGAGAGTAATCGTGAAAACAAAATACTGTTACCAAAAACGACTTTACATTTTTCATTTGATCAGTTAACACAGCTAATGAAAATATTCGTTAGTGATGTATTAAAAGAAGTTGTTTTGTTAAATTATGTACACTATGATTGTATGAAAATCACTAAACATTTATTGAATCAATAGTGAGCTGAATAATATTATGGTTTTAGTGGAAAAGAGGAAGGTACACTTTTAGTGGAAAAAAGAAAAGTCTACTTTTGGTTGAAACGTGTACCGCCAAATGATAATAAATCTTGAGCGTCTTGTGTTCATGTGACAATTATTCTTACTTATTATTGATTTGTTTGATAATATTAAATATTTACCCGAATACCAGTACGATTGAGTTTTTTTATTGTAATTAGAAGAAAACCTGCTATTATATCTTTTGTATCTACTAATATAAGGAATATTGCATTACCTATTATTCTAAAATATAAATCAGTGACTCATTATAAGAAGGGTCAATGTGACATTTAGACAAAATTTGGATTGTAATCGATTTTTGAGAGAGGGTAGAATGAATTTAGGATTGGCATGCATTTAAAAAAGTACATACCACTACATACTAAATAATATTTGCGTCGTTAAATTTTCAATTTTACGTATATTTCCATATGAGATAGGCTAACGTGTCGTCACTCCGCTCCACTTATTTAAAAGTTTATTTATTGCTTTACTGCAATTAAAAGTGCCATACGAATTCAAGGGTTAGGCATACAAATTCATGCTTATTACAATATTTACATATTAAATATTGGGGGGAGGGAAAATATGATAATTTCCAAATGGATGGGGTGCTTATTAAGTACGTGTATTTTAGATTCTGAGAAATCTAAAAACATATGACCATAATAATAATGTATACCTATACTATTTGCTAGAAAAAAAAAATAGATACTTATACTTATTATTATAATTTGGAAGTGTTCCAATTTTCAAATGTGCTATTTTAAACATTTTGTAAACGTGTATTAAAAACAGAAAAAAAATGATGTATTTATGTTTTGACGGTGTAGCGGCAAGTTGTTATTGTATATTTTTTTTTCGACAGCACTTTTTTAAGATTTATGGACTTGTTCCAAGTAACCCGGTTGTTCGAGTTGTAATATTCTTTACGTTGTCCTACATTCACATATAGGTAGGCATATTATTTTATTTGCGTCACGTATTGGAAAAAGTATGGGGTAACCAGTGCTCGAATTGGAAAATCCAAAGAAGAGACGGTGAGACTTAAAAAAAAATTAGCCACATTTACAATTATTGAACTGAATTTAACTTTTGGTAGACTTCGCCACCATTACTCCACTTTTAAATTATAATTCAACACTAAGTAAGTAGTTTGCAGAAAAAACAGAACCATTAATACTCTTGAAGGCTACGTTTTGCTTACATGGGTATTTATTTATTTGATTGTAATATTATTGACGTACAATATTGATTGTCTGTGTTGATAATAAGTACATTTTTTTTTTTTTGAAAATACCATAATTTGTAAAAAGAGACGTACCTTCCATATTTTCGTCCCTATAGAAATAATTATAGTAAAAGTTTGCTTAAAAAAAGAAAATAGTGGAGGATGTCCTTCCCCTACGCCCATCCCCAAATCCGAGTACTGGTGGTGATACACCATTTCTATATAGCCGTATAGAAACTGTATTTACAAAATAGAAATAAAATTGTAATGTTTGCCTTTCTGTTTTTCCTCGCTAAACTAGGAAACGGCTAGATCGATTCCGATGGAATTTTAATTACGTGGTTACAGAGTATTTTTCCTTAGGTATATGAATAATTAGTTTAGGCTACTTTTTATCCCGGAATAAAACGCCTAAAGGGTGAGCACTGGGCGTACTGAGTTTTGATATTATGATACGAATATCTCCGATGAAAAAAAAAAACGATTAGGTATACGATTTGGTTTTCACAAACAAGAGAGTCCTTTTTTAAAAGAAATTAGAGAAATCCTATTGCAGTAATTCAAGAATATTATTAGGATTATCTTAATTTCCTGGGTAATCTATATGAAACTATTACGTAGGCAGATACTGATTCGATTTATTTCTCTTTTACCGTTTAATAAAATATTGTGAAGCTGGATGAACTATAATTAAGCAATACCGGATAAGGATACAGCTAACGTAAAATAATCTTGAACAATTCATTTGTTCGATTTTAATTTTTTATATTTAGTATCGATTTCAGTGGAAAGCATCAACGTTATTCTTTAGATTTCAAGACATATTGTGTTTTTAATTTAATTAAACGCGAAAAGAAATATTCAATATGAATATGAATAGTGAACACCTACGAAATATTACAGTACAGTTAGATAGATGTAACTTACTTAGTAAACTCTTCAACTTTATAAATGAAAAATAAAAATCGTTGTTTTGTACGGATACCTACCTATATGGAGGAAATTTATACATAGGAAATCAACCTACCTGAATAATATATCCTAACATACTCGGGTGTAACATACCTACTTAATATTTTGGTAACAATATGGTTAATGTAAATATTCGTTACGCGTCCCTAACCACAGAACAACTAAATACCGTTGTCGTATCGGTGGCATAGATAATGAAGGAATTCTTTATCATACATGACTGGCGTTGAACCGCTGATAAAACGACGACGTCGACGGATTCCATAGTCTCGGTGAACGTCAATATTTGTTCCTGTGTCCGCTGTCCAGTGTACGGTCTCAATTTTTACGAATCGAATAAATTTGTACGAAGAGCTGTGCCCTTTGTGTATTGTACGGGTGTAATGCACAAAGGAGAATTATCGCCGACGACCATTGACAAGACGAACCCGCCCTGGAGGAAACCAGCCAGAGAATTACGGTGAGTGCGCAACATTGTATAGATATTGTTAGTCGGCGTGTACGATCGTTAATAAAAAAAAATAGAAAGAAAAACGTACTTCAGTGGCTATTTCAGTCCCCGTTCGTTTTCTACAGCCAGGCGCTAAAATAAAATAATCGCCCCATCCGATGCCTACATGCGTTTATTTTTAATGAAATTACTCTAGACCTAGTCGGACTTGACCCGTTTATTGACGTGCGGCCGGACGCGTTGTGTTTAATAATATTGTTTTGTTTCCAGGCCAAAAGTATGTTACTTTTTTTGAACACAGCACACACAATATTATTTACTCGCATTTTCTTCCAGTGAGTAAGACAGTAGGTACTGCGAAAAACGTCTAATTTGGTGTGGGCGAAATTAGTTTTAAATTCGATTACAACAGTTAAATTTCAAACATTTAAAATACAATAATAATTACCTAATTATGTGCACCTACAATGTTCGATTTAATTGTTTAAATTGTTTTTTATTATTGAATTTATCACAGACCAACAGAGTGAGTGTAAAATTTAGGTACCTAAAATCTAAATAGAAAGTTAAGTGTTTATCATATTTACCAATTACATAAACACATTTTTTGAAAAGGTGTAGATAGAATAGCCATTTATACAATATTATCAAATATGGTAATAACTGGTTATAGTTGATAAGTATGGATTAGAAAAATATCTATTTAGGTAGGTAGATATGTACTTATTTAAGTAGTTTTGGAGATATATATATTTATGTATTTTTTTTAAATATAGGTTTTAAATGTCTTGGAACTACTTAGGTACCTATTTAGACCTATTTTAGCTCTATAAATCAATACAAATTAAAACTAAAAATAAAATCTAAAAAAATTTGAATTATTGACCAAATAAACATTTGTGCAGGTTAGACATTTTTTTTCAACTATAAAATGAATAAAAGTTAGATAAAAACTCCAATTGTAGAGTTAAATTATCCAAAAACAGGAAAAATAAAAATGGAATTTACTTTAAGTATTAAATTCCGTGAAATGCATTTCTAACTGTTAGTGATATTATAGCGAATTCATTTTGATTATAAATACATTGGTAGATTTCTACTTGATGAAAAATACATTTTTCTTTAGGTATATTGAGAAAATAGCTAAATTTTAGTTTGAAATTTATATTTATTAATTTCAAGTTGTGAAAACGTATTCAAAAAACAAATTTTTATTCTTATTTAATTGCCATTTTTATTTATAAACTAATACCTCGACTAATATTAGTTTTAAACAATCAGTATTAAACAGTTAACATTCTTAGTTAAAGTTAATAGTTAAATTACATTGTACATAACAATGTGTGTATTATTTGCTCAAATATAATGTTTTGTAATAGTAATTTTTAAATTATTATTAATTATAATTTTTTGTTTCTACTGGAATTTGTTGTTATTACTGCAACTTGTACAAAAAAAAAAATGTAACTGCATACTACATAGTACTGTATTAATGATAACTGCTATAATTAATTTTCGAATATTTTGACAATAATCTATTACAATAGTAGTGTTAACATTTTTTTTTAATCTTAAATTTACTATAATTTAGTTTAGAAGAACTCGTTTTTATAACATTTATAAACATTTATATCTTGGTGGAAATTAAATAATGTAGTTTTTTCCATTATCATTAACAAAAACTAAGAATAACTACAAAATGTGTTTGCAAATACATTTATTATTATATGATTTTACTCAAAATTCAAGTTATAGACATTTCTATTTAACTAATTTTGGATTTTCACTAAAAAATATTGGTAGTAAGTTTATATTAGGGTTAAATGAGCTAAATCGAGTGTCGTAAAAATTAATATTAATGCAAACAATATTAATAAATAATAATATCAAGAGCTATCAATAACTGTGTTAAAATTATTGATTTTCAAATAGCACTTAAATATATTTAAAGAATAAGTGCATTACTCAATTTAATTTTTAACATTTTATAAAACTGAAATTTGAAACTATTAAAAATACAAATTGTTTTATATTACGTTCATTTTTCATTATATCCATTGTTAAGTTGATATACATATGTACAATTGTACATGTATACATAATTATATTCGTATTGCTTACATTAACTTCCTAACAGTGCATGACTACACGTATAATTTAGAAAACTAGTCTATTTAATAGTAATTACATCTCATATATGTCTTCAATATAGTTATATTAATTTCTCAAGTATGATAATATAAGTATCTTATGAATACACAATGTTTGAGTAACAATCTACAAAAATGTGTTCCAACCAATCCACACCAATAACTTTGGATTAATCTCTGATAATTTTGAATTTATATAAATAAATTGAATGCTTTTAATTATTACACAAGGGACTCAATTTACAAATTTAATTTATATATGAAAAACTGAAATTACCTACTTCTAAATTAAATAGGTACAACTTATCAAATTATCCAAAAATGTACTTAATATTTATATTTATATTTATTATTTTATTTTATTTAGATTTTATGAGAAAAAATATGAACTATTCAGATTATAAGTGGAGGGAGCAAACTTCATCAAGACTGAATAGGCCTAAAGTAAAAGATCCTGCTTGTGAAAATGGAAAATCTTTATCTACCACTAATAGCTTTGCTAAGAAACATCAAAGGAATCTATCATTACCAATTAATAATGTTTTCGAGCCATTAAAAGTAAATTAACATTTTTAAATAGAAACTATTCAGAGATATCTAATGAATTGATACATGTTTTTTTAATTTTAGACAAAACCTGATACAAACTCTTCAACTTCAATGTCTAATTCTCGAGGTATGATAAAAACCAGAGTTAATATCAAGAAACTAATTTCAAAATGTGAATATTATTTTTTCAATTTTCTTTTTTTATAGGCAATGGATTATCTTGTTCTAGTCCAGTCCACAAAAATTACCAAGAATCCAATGAATGTGATAACGATTCATCATCCAATAGTGACACTGGAAGTACAGGCACTTATATTATTGAGAGAACCGATACAACCCACAATAATAAATCCGAGGAGTTACCTACTTGTGATGATAGTGGGGTTGATGATTTTAAAAAATCAAATTCAATGGTTAAAGTAATAAATACATATTTCTGTATAAAGACAATTTGTATTTTCTTGATAAAATTAAATTCATATTTGTTTTTGGATTTTCAGAAATTGCGGTCTAGTTGGGTCAATGAATGGCATTCAAAATTAAATCAAAATAAGTCTACTCGGTCAATTGCATTACCAGAACATTTGCCCATACCAAAATCTGGTAAATTTATTACTTGTTAATGAAAACTAACCATATCCAGAATAAATAATTAATAATCTTTATTTAATTTTCAGATTTGGTACCAAATTCACCAATTTTAAGAAAACACATTAGGAAATCAAATATTCCACTGCCAAATGCATCTAGTATGAAAGACTTGAGTGTACGGTTTATTAGAATAAAATTAATAGACCATAATATTAGTGGCAGCTCACAATGCTGATGAATATAGGGCGACAATATGAAAAAGTCTTCTGTTTTAAAATTACAGAAATACTTATAACAACACACATATTTTTATAAAAGCAAACAACTTTTTTACGATTTAATGACCTCTCTCTGGGATTACTCTCTGGGAGCTTATGAATTGAAAAGACTTCATTATTCTTGATATTAGTATTTTATTATTGTTGGGACAATGGACAGTGTCATCCAAATGCTAGCATCCGCAGTTTAAATTTTTTCGCACCCATATGATCAATAGGTGTCTTACCACACTTGCCACTTTGCACCTATCAGCATATTGGATCCTTGGTACTCCTATAAAACTATACACTTAGAGTGTGGCCCTGTCCTCTAAGCCACAAGCCACTACTGCATAATATGTTCTATCAATACATTTCAGATAATAATTATTAATTTATTGAATTTTATAGGAAAATGGTATTAAAAGTATAAGTAGTGATGATGACACCAAATTGCTTTTAAAAGATGCAGAAAACTGTGTGTCTATATTGGAAGCTAAAGTGGAAAAAACTGCTCATACTGCTATTCAGTATAATCGAACTTTTAAGTATGTTGTATTTTATAAACCTGTTTAAATAAATGTGACATTTTAAAAATGTATACATGTATTTTAGCTTGCGTCGTGATAGGTTTGCCAAGCCATTACAAGATACAAATAAAAAACCTGTAGACACCAAGACTTCCAGTGATAAATCCAACTTACATAGACCATCCAGTCAAAATCTAAGTTCTTCCTTGTCAAGAGTAGATTGTGGACGTTATAGTTTGAGAACATCTAGAGCACCTCAGCCGAATTCAGTATGCTAATGTTTATACATTTTTAACATAATATAAAATTATTAATATTTTGTTTTATTTTATTTAAGTCACCATTATTGTCTGCTCGTAAAAATTTATCATCAAAAAAAAAGTGGAACTCAAGCATACTTTGCACCAAAGTTCAAATTCCAAATAAAGAAACAGAATTGGAAAATTGGAAACGCCGTAAGAATTATGATCCAATGAAGGCAGCTGCACAAGGAAAAAAAAAAGATCAACATAAACCATCATTTTCTAAAGAGTAAGTAATGAGGTTTTTATTTTATGAAAACTTTTAAATTTGTTTTTTTTTTCTCATAGAAAAAGTATTGAAAATTCTGGTAATCCAGTACTGAGGTCAGCATCTTTTCATGGCCGAGATGTGTTTTCACAGGATGATGAGAGTGACGCATGGGAACAGAAAAGTTTGCATTATTATCAACCTGTGGATGATTGTCATAAACTACCACAACCACCAGCAGTGAGTGCTGAGTACATTATATTAATACAAGTTAGGGTACATGATCATTTTCTCTGTACTGTTTTTGTTCGTAAGTCATTGATAGTAAACTGAAAGTAAATGAAGTTTTCACACTAGACAGTTACCACAGTTTCCAATATTTGTGTACATGGTGATACAAAAGCAATATGGCAATGGTATGTTTTCAACTCATGTTGCAAGAAATTAGAAAAATTATTTATACAAAGCTACCACAGATATAAAATACTAGATGGCTAACTTGTTATACACCAAGGTACTAAAGTTGAAGCCAGTTTTCATATATGTGTAGGGCAATATTTACATTTTTCAATTGTGGTTATCATTTTATCACACGAATATAATACATTTCAATTTCATTTCAAAAATTCTACCAGAAATCTTGCGCAGGTATATATGATAAAAGACACATTTATGGAATAAAATTTTCTTAGGGTGGTGCTTTAAGGAGGTAATTTTTTGATTTCTCAATCATTATTTGTTATCAGTGTCAGGTTGAAGTATGAACACTATTCAGTTGTCTACACCTCAATGTGCTGACACATTTGTCATACTACCTATTTCATGTATTGTTTTGTGGTGATGTAGCGCTCTGATTCAATGGTTAAATTCTGAGCAATATCAAATGTCAAATTGAATGGCACACAATATCTAAAGCGAACATACCCATAAAATTACAGCTTGCTCTGTTTTGCATGGGTTCATGCATCAGATGCAGATCGTGTCAACAGTTGTGTAAAACAGCTGTCTGGTAAAGCAGCTTGTGGCATTAGATTTGCATTATGTAAACTCAGCTTAAGAGATATTTTTGACCATAGCACAAATAACAATTGATCTTAGGATAATCCCTATTTGTATGAGACATATGTGATCATATGTGATAACTTGTGACCTAGCAAGCAGCTAGACCTTATTTTGTAATATTGTGACACATATTTTCTATTCATTTAGGAAAAGTGATTAAATTATTACACATAATATAATATGTAAAATTTGATTTGTTTTTCGTGTACTTAATATTTGAATTGTACAGTAATATTTATAATAATGNTTGTGTACATGGTGATACAAAAGCCATATGGCAATGGTGTGTTTTCGACTCATGTTGCAAGTCAACTGAGTTGAAAAAGTAAAATGTAAGCCCGATTAACCAGATGATTCACCAGGAAGAATGTGAAAACAACTTTCGCCTATTTGTACAGATCAAAATCATACAATTTAAACAGTCTTGTATGAAAGAAGCCTTACATTATTGTATATTATGTCTTTAACCACACTTAGTTACATCCCACCGATAAATAAAATTTTATAAAGGGTGATAATATATAATTCAAATAAAAACTCAAAAGTACCCATAATCTAGATTACAAAATTCAATTATACAGAAAGTACAAAATATATGATATCACTTATTAATCTTAGTGATATGACCATAATTTAAAAATGTCTTTATTTAATCTTATTTTCTTGCAACAAAATATAAATAAACATGTAACTATAATATATAGCCTAACCTAACCTAACCTAACTTAAGTCACATTTTAAAAGGTATATTGAGTATAAACTACTTAGATGAGTAAATAAATTATTTATAAGAGAATACAATTTTAAAGCTGAGTTTACACTACTAATGTGCTAGACAAAAACTGACATGATTCAACCAATGTCAACATTGGGCATCTTCTCTTGTAAATCTATACCATGGGGAATTCAGTTGTTTGATTCCTATTGTGTGAATGTGTAGTACACATTCAAAACATTCATAGTGTACACTATCTCCTATAGGGTGTATTCACTATGAAGTAGATCATCATACATCAGAAGATTTATGGTAAAAAAGTTACCTACAAAAAAATGAAACATCTTTGTAAAACCCTAAATTATTTCGCTCAATTCACATTTAAAAATTAAAAAATTATATAAATCAACTATATTTTAATTTAAAACCATTGATTAACTAATCAAAACCAATTGGAAAACCGTAAACACACTGGGGTTGGCATTTGAAATTAAATTTTTATCCAAAATGACCACTGATATAAAATACTAGAGAGCTAACTTATTATACACCAAGGTACTAAAGTTGAAGCCAGTTTTCATATATGTGTTGGGCAATATTTACATTTTTCAATTGTGCTTATCATTTTATCACACGAATATAATATAAAATTTTCTTAGGGTGGTGCTTTACGGAGGTAATTTTTTGATTTCTCANCCTCAATGTGCTGACACATTTGTCATACTACCTATTTCATGTATTGTTTTGTGGTGATGTAGCGCTCTGATTCAATGGTTAAATTCTGAACAATATCAAATGTCAAATTGAATGGCACATTATATCTAAAGCGAACATATCCATAAAATTACAGCTTGCTCTGTTTTGCATGGCTTCATGCATCAGATGCAGATCGTGTCAACAGTTGTGTAAAACAGCTGTCTGGTAAGGCAGCTTATGGCATTAGATTTGCATTATGTAAACCCAGCTTAAACATTTTTTTTGACCATAGCACAAATAACAAGTTAATAATTATAGTCAAATTTATAAAACTGTTTAAAGATCTGATGTTAAATGATATTATTATGTAATTTTATTAGACATCAAGAGATCATTCACCTCCATCCAAAAACGAAAATCTTTCTTCATCAGTAAATTCATCGTTGGCCATGTTACCCACTTTGGTTAGTTAACATTTGTTTCAATTTTTTACTAAAATTGTGTAAAAAATAACTATAAATTGTAAATAATATCAATGTAGATAACAGCACACAATGGTTCACCTACATTTTTGCATAAATCACTGTCTGCGTTTAATAGCTCTACAAGTTCATCACTAGATGTTAGTTCAATGGTAAAAAGTTACTAAATATTGACTTTTCATTAAATTTGTATTGATAGTGTGTTTAATTTTCAGCCAGATGCTTTATTTGATGACAAAGAAGCATTGGATATGGTTCAGTTATCATATAAAGCCAAAAAACATGGTATTGAACTTATGAAAAGAATAAGGTATGTAATATATTTATTTGTTTTTATTGCTAACTGTGTATATTTAAATAAATTACACATAATATTGTTTCATTTATTTTATATAGAGAGGAGTTACCAGAATATGATGATGCACAACTTACTGATAGTATAGCAAAAATCGACTTAATGTGTGATGAATACCATGTACCCATGAAATCTTGGGGAATGTCTGTAACTGCAACTAATATTAACTGTATTAATAGTATATTCAGTAGTAAGTAGTAATTTAAAAAAAATATGAATGCAATTTAAATATTTATAGTGATTTAATTAAATTAGGATGATTAGGATTTAGATACATTTGTTACATCTAATTATTATATTACTTATTACCTAAATAATTATATTTTATTATTTATTTTTGTTTAAAAACTAATTATGGCACTGAATAATACAATATTTTTTTTGGCCTTATTGATTGGCAAAATACTTTTGAGAATTGGTTAACTACTCGATAATTGACAATAATTTAACTGTATTAAACATTAGTTCATTTTTAAAATAATAAATTACCCAAAGAAAATATATTTTTCCATATTATACATTTTTATTAAAATATACATTTAGGACATCCAGTTAATTATAATAATGATTTCACTAATTATATTATGAGAGCTTAATTGGGCAAATATGTTTAAGTTGAAGTAGAAAGTAAATTTGCTGTTTGTCTACCTAATAGGCAACATAACAAACAATTTTTACCCAAAATATGTTGGCTTATTTCGAATATTACTCTAGTCTTTTTTATGGTAACAAAGTTAAACTTTAGTAATTTTATCTATTTAAATCTAAACCTGTAATTTTTATATTATTATTTCAAAACGTTTTAAAATGCAAATAAAAGCAGTTTGAATCATTTTTTTGGAATATTATTCATTAGATTGACAAAAGATAATAAATGCATATTCAACTCCTCTTAAAATAATAAATAAGACATGTCTTTTAATTCAAAATGACCGAAGGTATTTGGTTTTATAAATGTTTTGAATAAATTTTTTCTAATAGTAGTACCGGTTAATTTGTGCGGTTTTCTAACAGATGGCGTAACTTGATTTTTATTCCAGTGATTCACCTTTCCAAATATGTGTTGGAAAGCTACTGTCATATTGTTTCAGAATCAGTATGTGTCATTTAGCTGAAACGTAAACAACAATACTTTTTTTTACTCTGAAAATGTCGAATTTTGTGCCGAATAAAGTGTTTTTGCGAGGAGTACGTCTTCATTACTTCAATATGAAGAAAAAGGCTGCCGAAAGTCATCGTATTTTGGTGGAAGTGTATGGCGTGCATGCTCTAGCTGAGCGTAAGTGCCAGAAGTGGTTTGCACGATTTAAAAGTGGCAATTTTGACTTGGAGGACGATGAACAGCCCGGACAGCCAAAAAAGTTTGAAAATCACGAATTGGAGACATTGCTCGACCAAGATCTATCTCAAACGCAAGAAGAACTTGCAAAATCACTTAGCATCGTTCAACAAACCATTTCCGATCGTCTAAAAGCAATGGGAATGATCCGGAAGGTAGGCCATTGGGTGCAGTATGAATTGAAGCCAAGAACGCCGATTTTTCACGTGTGAACAACTGCTTCAACGGCACAAAAGAAAATGTTTTTTGTATCGATTTGTCACTGGCGATCAAAAGTGGGTCCATTAGGATAATCCAACGCATGGATACCCTGGCCATGCATCATCATCGATGGCCATTCAGAATATTCATGACCTGAAGGTTATGCTGTGTATTTGGTGGGACCAGCTGGGTGTGATCTATTATGAGCTGTTGAACGGAATGAAACGATCACAGGGGAAATCTACAATTGATGCGTTTGAACCGAGCATTGAAAGAAAAACGGCCAGAAACTGAGACTAGACACGATTATGTAATTTTGCAACATGACAATGCTCGGCCACATGTTGCACAGGTCATCAAAACCTACCTTGAAACACTCAAATGGGATGTCCTACCCCACCAGTATAATCCAGACCTTGCGCCATCCGATTACTATCTCTTCCAATCAATGCAACATGGCCTGGCTGACCAGCACTTCTCCAATTATGAAGAAGTCAAAAATTTGATCGATTCGTGGATAGCAGAAAAGCCGGCCAAATTTTTCAGAAAGGGTATTCGTGAATTGCTGGGAAAATGGGAAAAGGTCATAGCTAGCGATGGACAATACTTTGAATATAAAATTTGTAACCATATTTTCACAATAAAGCTTCAATTTTCGAAAAAAAACCGCACAAATTAGCACAAAAACATAACTACATATTAGGGATCCCTGATTTATTTATTTTAAATCATCTCAAAAGTTATTCAACAATTGATCAATTTATTTTTATACTTTAGGTAGTTTTTTGTACCAAAAATAATTTTGAAACACATGTCACATTGTTTACAATGATAATACCATATCTTATGTTAATAGCTGCTACTAAGTGCGCTGAGTGCTAGCTTATGTAGTGAAAAAATTGTAGCTTAAAAAACAACTAAAGTTTTGATATTATTAATTATAATGAATAATTTCAGTTTATTTAATCTAAATATATTTTTGGAGATAACATTGTTTGACTTATCTAGATATTAATATCATTTAAAATTGATAAAAATAAATGGAAATTATAAAATTCAAGAAACAAGAGACTCGTAATAATCCTTTCTCTTAGAATGGATGATTCAAAAGTGTTGTTTAGAAGATTTGATCATAGGATAATCCCCATTTGTGTGAGACATATGAGATCATATGTAATAACTTAAACTGTAAACCTAGCAAGCAGTGACCTTTAAAATTTTTGAAAATTCTTGAAATTCGTTAAAATATAAAATAAGCTGACAGAATGAAAAAAGAATAAAATTTGTTTGACCTTATTTTGTAATATTGTAAATTTGAAATGTGACTTATATTTTCTATTCATTTAGGAAAAGTGATTAAATTATTACACATAATATAA